ATTATCTAAAAGCCTCAATAATCAGCAGTATAAATTAATTATTATTTTTTATTTTAAAACTTGTTATTTCATGCTTGTCAGTTCTCAATAATGGATTTTAGAGGATTGGATTGTGATTCCGCTTTGAATTTATACACTATATTAATGATTACTTTTAGGACCGTTGATCAGGTGTGTCTTAGGACACGATGGAAAAAGACAGAACTATGGGGCACACAACACATTTTTAATAGGCGGCGTGTTAAATATGTCTATCCTTTGGATTTCCTCTAGATTTCCTCTAGATTTTTACAGATGGACAGGAACTCTCTGCCGGTTGCCACGAGGCACTGCCTAATTACTTTGTTGTGTAATAACCTTAAAAAATGAATTAATATGTCACTATTTTAACGGTCAACATTAATTTTTTAATGATAGGAGATAATATTATTATGATTTTAAATTTTTAAGACAAATTTACACAAAAAAATTTGAGTGCCTAGTATTCTTAAGTAAAAAATTTTGCAATAAACTTGTACCGTAACTTTTTTTTAAAATTTTTTATGGAGGTTTTAAACTCAACTTCATACTTGAAAGATATCTAAGAAAAATATTTGGTGTGACTGAACAATAAGGTCCCGAATATCAAAATAAGTTACACAGGAATATATTATTTTGAAATGATTACCTGAATATAAAAAGTTATTTGAGGTACGGAGGCGGTGCAGTGTATTGAATTTGTTTGTAGTGAGTGGTGGCCCATTATATTATATATGGCTAATTATGATGTCTCTCTCTCATGGTAAATAATATTGTGATGTGTACAGTGTACACACACAACTATGGTGAAAAAGTACTAGAGAGAGGACCATATATATATATATGTATATATATGTATGCTCATTGTTCCTCGATTTGAAACTGTCACAGAAACGTACACACATCAAAGACTTCTCCCACAAAGATGAGAGTGGGAAAGAAGGAGAGAGAGGGAAGGAGCAGCTGATGATGACAAAGCTTCTTTGTTATTTGAGACGAAGGAAGCCCAATGGAGAGGAGCTTACAAGCTATTTGCATGCACCATTTTTGCAGGTACGCACATACATCCATATATTCTTTTCTTCTACATCATCCCTTCATTAAATTTGACAGTATATATGATGAAGTTATATATATATATGTGTGTGTGTGTGTGTGTACTGACCGGTGGGTGTGTGTGTGTGAGAGTGAAGGGATATGTATGATATGGTGGTACAGGATAAGAAAGATATTATCATCTGCAGAAGGAGGAGGAGGAGGAGGAGGATGGGTTAATATGGTGGTGATGTGGTCGGAGGTATGCTTTGGAGTGTTCTGGATTCTCACCCAATCGGTTCGTTGGACCATTCTTTACTATTCTCCCTTCAAACACATCCTTTCCCGCAGGTATTACCTTTCTCCAATCATATATACTACTTCTTATTTTAATTATAAGATCTTATTTGATTTTTGTTTTGGTTCTAAATATAAGATTCAAATCCATTTTGTCTTTCATATTTATTAATTTTTTTCGAGATAGCCTTATAATAATAGTAGTTATGATCAATACACTTGATTAATAAAGATATTTGAGAAAAGACAATACATATTTATTATAAATAACTAACTTAACCAATTTTCTTAATCTACTCTGTGTGTATATATATATATATATGCAATTCTTCTCCTATACACAGCGGATGAGCAGAATATTTCAAAAACAAATAACTAGATGAGTTTAGTATTAGATATGTATGTCTGTGTGTGTATATATATATATCTCACAGTTAATATGAAACTCACAGGGGCACTTTCTAATTTTTTGTATAAATAACCGACAATATGATTTAATCTTTATGTGTAGTGCAGCTGGTCTGCACACCGCTACATTCTTCAGTCACTCCTTATCTTCTTATCTTTGACCAAACTAGCTGAGTCTTTTAATTATAAAATCTTGTTTATAATATATAAATAAAATCCTAAATTATAAACAAGATCTTATAATTAGGATAAAAGGTAGTATATATTGATAACTATAAGTCAAATATACATGACAAATTTAAGAGATTCAATAATAATAATAATATGATGTACAAGTAGCGTTATACGCCTCTCTCCTAAAAAAGTTATACAAATTTTAAACTGTTCTTATACCTAATATTATAAAAACTAGATAATTAACTAGTAAATATTAAGAAAATTTATTAAATAGGAAAATTTTTGCTAAAAAAGAATTAGTTGTTAAAAAAATGTGTTGATTTTTTAATCTTTATTGATTAGTTGCATTGAAACTACCTCTTATGTAAATTTCATTAACACGTGCCATCTAGATGGATAGTTTGAATGAAAATACCACTACACCCGGTCCTAATTATAAGATCTTGTTTATAGTTTATAAAAGAGGTGTTATAATTAGAACCAAAGGTAATAATTCATTTAGAAGATAAATGGGTTGAAATCTTTATATTTAGAACTGGAGGAAATAATATGTTTATTTTTTAATCTCAACCATGGCTTCGCCCAAACTGGGGTTTAAGTTCTCAGTATAATAAATTTATTTATTTTTCTCTTGTCATTCGATTTGGTGGTGGACATTTCAAATTTTATATGGAAAAAAAATTAATGAACATTAGATGAACCAAATCTTGTGGAGATAATCGAAATCCATGATAAATACAAATGCACACTTAATTAATGACCACAATTCAACACAATGATAAAAGCAAAAACTAAATATTTAGGAGCATGCATATGTTTTGCATTAAGCCGGAGATGAACCATATGCTTTATACAGACATAATATTTTGTACTGAATGGGAAAAATCCACGGCATACAGATATGATGAAGAGAAGCTACCAGGAGTTGACATTTTTGTGTGCACAGCAGATCCAACATTGGAGCCACCAAGCATGGTGATGAACACAGTGCTATCAGCAATGTCATATAATTATCCTTCGAGCAAGCTTAGTGTTTATGTTTCTGATGATGGAGGTTCTGAGCTCACTTTCTATGCTCTTCTGAGAGCTTCTCTTTTCTCTAAGCATTGGATTCCTTTCTGTAAAAGATTCAACGTTCAAACCAGATCTCCTCAGGCTTACTTTTCCTCTCACCATTCGGGGACCATGCATCAAAATGATCAACAATGGTCATATATCAAGGCATGTAATTTATTAAAATTAACCCATGTCAATGGTTATCTGAATATACAAAAAACTGATGAGCATATATATATATATATAAAAGCTAAATAATTCAATGATTTTTAGAAATTATACGAAGACATGAAAAGTGAGATAGAGTCCATAGTAGAAAAGGGGAGAATTCCATATTCAGTGAGGAACCAACATAGAGGGTTTTCAGAATGGAATGACAACACAACAAAACAGAACCATCAGCCTATTGTGCAGGTACATGTATCTCCTTTCCTAACAAAAACTAAGTGTTGATGAAACATGCATGTATTCAAATATAAAAACCATCAACAATTTACTTGTTTTTTTGGGGCCCAGGTTATAATTGATGGAAGGGACACAAATGCTATAGATGATGATGGATTTCAATTACCAACCCTAGTGTACATTGCACGAGAGAAGCGATCCAACTTCCCTCACCACTTCAAAGCAGGAGCCGTGAACGCACTCGTAAGTACTCCTCTAATCCTAAACATTTAATTTTCAACATCACACACACACACATATATATATTCAAATGTAGTTACTGATAGAAACATGTGCATGTATATGCAGATAAGAGTGTCATCAGAGATAAGCAATGGACCCATAATTCTCAACTTGGACTGTGACATGTACCCAAACAGTGCAGACACAATACAAGAAGCATTGTGTTTCTTCATGGACGAGACGAGAGGCCACCAGATAGCTTATGTGCTATTTCCCCAAAGATTCAACAATATCACCAAGAATGACCTTTATTCAAATGCCTATCTTGTTAGCCACAAGGTGAACTGAGACACTCAGACTCACATTTCAATTAAACTACTCTTCTTATTAGACACAATTGTGATAGTTCTAACAATAAATGGGAAATTAAAGATAAAGGTAGTTAGAGTATTTTGAACTGATTTGAAAAATGAAAGACTAAAACCTTTTGTTGTACTACTATTGCTTAAGATTGAGTTTGCTGGCTTTTGTGGAAATGGAGGATCTTTATACGGTGGAACTGGGTGTTTTCACAGAAGAGAGAGTCTCTCAGGAATGCACTTCAAAGACTATTACAAACCAAAATGGGATACCAAACCTAAGATAGAAGACAAAAGAACAACCAATGAATTAATTGAAGCATCAAAAGCTCTTGTCAGTTGCACCTACGAGGAGGGCACTCAGTGGGGCAAAGAGGTCTGTGTTTAGATATAAAGCATAACATATGGCTCTTTAATTAATTAATAACACTTGGAAGTATTTATGATGTTCATGTGTTTGTGTGTGTGTGTCTGTGTCTGTGTATTTATGGCACAAAATTAGTAACGAATAAGGATTATGCAGATAGGATTGGTATATGGGATTCCTGTTGAAGATATAGTCACAGGGCTTGTGATTACATGCAAAGGGTGGAAATCAATTTACTATAACCCACTAGAAAGAAATGCTTTCATGGGAGTAGCTCCGACAACCTTTGACGTGCTTCTTGTTCAGCATAAGAGGTGGGGACAAGGGTTATCTCAGATCTTCTTCTCCAAGTATTGTCCTTTCATTTATGGCCACAACAAGTTAAGCTTTGGTTTACAAATGGCATACAGTATCTACATGCTATGGGCCCCATTGTCTCTTCCAACTCTCTGTTATCTTATTCTCCTTCCCATTTTCACATTTCGTGGCATTCCATTGTTCCCACAGGTAATCTCGTATATATTAATCCCTCATGTCTTATCTTTTCAAATGGATCCAAAAGACATAGTCTACTGACATAAACTTAGCTATACCAGTTGCATGATATTCTTTTCTTATATTTGATAACAAAAAAAACTTGGCTAATTATTTCTCATATTTGGTAATAGAATCTTTAATATAAGAGCTAGTTAGAGATTTAATTTAGTCCTAAATATAATATTACAATTCACTTTATCTCTAATATTCGTCTATTTTGCCCCTGGTAAGGAGCCTCTATCAATAGGTAGTTTCAACATGCATATTAATAAGACTATTATAGGAAAGATACCATATATTTTTTACAAATAACTAACTTGACTAATTTTCTTAATATTTACAAATTAATTATCTATCTCTTATGTTAATAACCAAAGATAGTATAAATATAAATTGTTGAAATGATTGTTGCCTCTTGGTTGTAGATTACAAGCCCTTGGATCATTCCATACCTGTACGCATTTTTGGCAAATTACGCCTATAGCTTCTTGGAGGCTCTAAGCTGCGGCAACACAGCCAAGGCATGGTGGAGTACACAACGAATGACACTGTTCCGAAGGACAACCTCGTATCTCTTTGGCTTCATTGACACCATCTTCCTGAACCTCAATCTCTTCCAAACAAAGTTTGATGTCACAGACAAGGCTTTATCACAAGACAGCCTTGACTGCTACGAACGAGAGGTCTTGTATTTTGGAAGCTCGTCGCTCATGTTCATCATCATGGCCACACTCGCATTGCTCAACCTCTTCGGAGCAATTTGGGGTATTAAGAGGCTTCTTGTGGATTCTTCATGGAGCCATTTAGGGTTACAAATTGTGCTGTGCGTTTTGATTGTGGTTCTGAATAAACCAATTTATGAGGCTCTCTTTATACGCACTGATAGAGGAAGCTTACCATTGGAGGTATTGTTCAAGTCTGCTGCTTTGGCTTCCTTGGGATGCATCCTAGCATCTTTGATATGTTGACATGTAATTTCGCCTTATCTGGTTTTAAATAAAAGAGCTATAAACTAGTTTTTATATTTATAACTAGCGATAACATGTATGAAAAGAGTTAGATAATGTATTAAAATGTTTAAGTTAATCTCTGCTGGTTAATTTATGGCTGAAGAATGGGAAATGGATGTTTAATAATTTGCCACATTAAGATTAAATTACTTTTGCTGCGATGAAAGTAATTGTTTGTTAATTCTGTTGTAAGTGATTTATTTTTTTAAAAAAAGGTTTATTGTCAGTGATTTTGTGATGTATCTATCTCAATCAAAATTCAAACCTTGATTTGCCAGCTAACTCCTCCTGCTATATAGACGAAACCCTTTTAGTAAATTGTTATGATTTTGGTTAAAGAAAAAAGGTGTTTTGTTATATCTGAATTTTTTTTTGGTTACCAACGCTTTGTTATCTAAAGTTAATTGATTTGATATGTTGACATTATTACTCGCGCCTAAATGAAATTATATAATAATTGGTTGAGTGTTGGGTCAAGCAAGCCCATTGTCAATTGCTATATGTTATCTAAATTTGATTTGACATATTGTCTCTTTGAGCCCGATAGTGTGTAGGCTTGCTTTAGCTATTACACAAAACTAAGAAGTAAGAATATGTTCCACATAGTTAAAAAAATATATCCATTAAAAATTTTAAAATGAGCTCCACTTGGTTCTTAAATAAAATTTTCAACAATTTTCTCTTATTTTATTTGGCTATCATTTTGACCTGGGCGAACAAGTGATTGTATATTATAATATTATGTTGGCAAAAAAAAAAGTTGTATAATATTATAATCACGATGGTGATGATGATCAGCAACCAAGGGGGAATAAAACCTGCAAGAAGATGGATTGAATCGATGCGAGCCAACTAATAATTAATAAATTAATAACAAGAAAAATAATAAACAAATAGAACAGAACCACAAGTGTAGTACGCCAAAACTGCACTGCTGGTGGTACTGGGTTCGATTATATAATAGTGAAGTTAATGGAGAAAGTAACCAAGGGAACGATGAAGGTAGAGGATAGCAGTGAGAGTAGTTATGTTCCATTGTTTGCGACGAAAAGACCCATAGGAAGGATAATCTTCTACAGGCTCTTTTGTGTCTCCTTATTTGCCGGAATATTCTATGTCTAGGTTGATAGATTCTCTCACTTGTTCATCCATGGCAGCGCTCAACATGAAAAAGAAGATGATGATGAAGGTGAGAAGAAATGTTATTGGGTTTTATGGGCTACTTTGTTTGGTGCAGAGCTATGGTTCAGCTTGTACTAGATCCTCACCCAATCTCTCTGATGGAATCTTGTCTTCGGACTTCCTTTCTACCCCATCTCTCTCTAAGGTTCTTCCTCTCTCTATCTCTCACTGAAAAAAAATTGTTTTTTTGTCACTTTTCACTTAGTTGAATTGTAACTTGGGTACGAATCATATCCATAGGAAATTTAACATACAGCCTTATGTTTAAATCTTTTTTGTGTTTAAATAACACTTAGAAAGATGTTCAATGTCACAAATCGTTGCCACCACAGAGCATTTTTCTTAATTTTAGACACCATAATTATTTTTTTAATGTTGTCTTTAACTCTTTATCATTAACATAGTCCCTCACCTAGGTGTGTTTTCTAAAAGAATTTTTTTTAATCTAAAATGTAAGGTTTATGTAAAACTATATAACAATTTTTTATTTTTGCCCCTCAAGATTTTAATAGATATAAATTGCACGTGAATGATAGTTAAATCTAAAAAACTAAATATTTGTAAGCATGTATGTGTTTTGCATTAAGTTGAAGATGAACCATTCCATATTTTCTTTCTTCAAGAAAAGTGCGATAGATTCTGTATTGAATAGGAGACATATACGTACATATATGATGAAGAGAAGCTTTCAGGAGTTGACATTTTGTGTGCACTGCAGATACAACGTTGGAGCCACCAAGCATGGTGATGAACACAGTATTATTAGCAATGTCATATGATTATCCTTCCAATAGGCTTAGTGTTTATGTTTCTGATGATGGAGGCTCTGAGCTCACTTTCTATGCTCTTTTAAGAGCTTCTCTTTTCTCTAAGCATTGGATTCCTTTCTACAAAAGATTCAACACTCAAACCAGGTCTCCTGAGGCTTACTTTTCCTCTCACCATTCTGGGACCATGCATCAAAATGATCAACAATGGTCAAATATCAAGGTAATTTACTAAAATTAATTTATATCAATGGTCATCCAAACATACAAAAGATTGATAAGCATATATATATATATATATATATATAAGCTGAATAACTCAATGATTTTTAGAAATTATACGAAGATATGAAAAGTGAGATCAAATCAGTAGTAGAAAAAGGCAAGATTCCAAATTCAATGAGGAACCAACATAGAGGATTCTTGGAATGGAATGACAACACAATAAAACAGAACCATTAGCAATATTGTGTAGGTATATATAAATGATCTTCTTTCCCAAGAAAAACTAAGGTTGAAACATGCATGCATTCATGTTTGTGTGTGTAATCTCATGCATACATAGCTTATAAAAATTATCAACAATTTACTTTTTTGGGGCCCAAATTATGATTGATGGAAGGGACACAGATGATATAGATGATGATGGAATTCAATTGCCAACCCTAGTTTATATGGCAAGAGAGAAACGACCCAACTTCCCTCACCATTTTAAAGCAGGAGCCATGAATGCACTTGTAAGTATTCCTCTGGTCCTAAACGTTTAATTTCCAATATTATATATATGTATTCAAATGTAGTTACTTATTGACAAAAACGTGTACATACATATACAGACAAGAGTGTTACCAGAGATAAGCAATTTCTCAACTTGGACTGTGACATGTACCTAAACAGTGCTGACACAATACAAGAAGCATTGTGTTTCTTCATGGATGAGAAGAGAGGCCAATAGATAGCTTATGTCCAATTTCCCCTAAGCTTTAACAATATCACCAAGAATAACCTTTATTCAAATGCTTTTCTTGTTGCCTATAAGGTGAACTTAAACACTTGGTCTGACATTTTAATTTAAACTGCTCTTCTTTTCAGATATGACTGTAACATGAAAGATTACTTAAACCTTAAACCTTTCATTGTACTATTGTCTAAGATTGAGCTTGCCGGCTTTGGAGGAAATAGAGGATCTTCATACTGTGGAACGAAGTGTTTTCACAGAAGAGAGAGTTTCTTAGGAATACACTTCAAAGATTATTACAAACCAAATGGGATACCAAACCTAAGACAGAAGACAAAAAAACAGCCAATGAATTAATTGAAGCATCGAAGGCTCTTGTGAGCTGCACCTATGAGAAGGGCACTCAATGGGGCAAGGAGGCTTGTGTTTGCATTTAGAGCATAACACATGACTCTAATTAACTTATAACACTTGGAAGTGCTTATGATGTTCATATATATATATATATGGTGCAGCAGTAACAAACAATGATTGTGCAGATGGGTTTGTTGTATGGGATTCCTGTAGAAGACATAGTCACAGGGCCTATGATCACATGCAGAGGGTGGAAATCCATTTACTATAACCCACAAGAAAGAAGCACCTTCATTGGAGCAGTTCCAACAACCTTTGACGTGCTTCTTGTTCAGCAGAAAAGGTGGGGACAAGGGTTGTCTCAGATCCTCTTCTCCAAGTACTGTCCTTTCATTTATGGCCACAACAAGTTAAGCTTCGGTTTACAAATGGCATACAGTGTCTACATACTATGGGCTACACTATCTCTTCCAACTCTGTGCTATCTTACTCTCCTTCCCATTTCCACATTTCATGGCATTCCATTGTTCCCACAAGAAACTTCATAGACAGAGTCTACTTATATAAACTTTGCTATTTGATAACAAAAAAACTTAGCTAATTAATTCTTATATTTGGTTGTGTAGGCGATATTTATTATAAATATAAATTCTTGAAATAATTATTACCACTTGGTGGCAGCTTACAAGCCCTTGGATCGTTCCATTCTTATATGCATTTCTAGCAAACTATGCCTACAACTTTTTGGAGGCTCTGAGCTGCGACAACATAGGTAAGGCATAGTGGAATGCACAATGGATGACACTGTTTCGAATGACCACCTCATATCTCTTCGGCTTCATCGATGCTATCTCCATGAAGCTCAATCTCTCTCAGACAAAGTTTGATGTCACGGACAAGGCTTTGTCATAAGATAGCCTTGACTGCTACAAACGATAGGTCTTATATTTTGGAAGCTTGTCGGTCATGTTCACCATCATGGCCACACTCGTATTGCTTAACCTATCTGAAGCAGTCTAGGGTATCAAGAGGCTTCTTGTGGATTATTCATAGAGCCATTTAGGGTTACAGACTGTGCTGTGCATTTTGATTGTGGTTCTGAATAAACCAGTTTATGAGGCTCTCTTTGTACGCACTGATAGAGGGGGCTTACCATCGAAGGTGTTGTTCAAGTATGTTGCTTTGGTTTCCTTGGGATGCCCCCTAGCATTTCTGATATATTAACAGAATATATATGGAAAATGTTAGATACTATGTTGAAATGTTTAAGTTAATCTCTATGAGTAAATTTATAGTTGAAGAATGCGTGATGAATTTCCAATAATTAGCCATTTTTTTAGGTAAAGATAATAATTAATAATTAATTATTATTAGCCATATTTAGATTAGATTACGTTTGTTGCCACCAAAGCAATTGCTTGTTAATTCCGTCACAAGAGATTTCTTTCCTTTTTGCTGGGGGGGTATTTGAATCTTCATTCCTCGCATTGTTGAGAAACTAGCCAATGCCGGCTCGTGTTGGTGAATTGCTACAATTTTAGTGAAAAAGCTGTTTTGTTATATCTGAATTTGGTTTGATTGGTTGACTTTATGGCTCAAAGCTCGGATGAAATTATAAAAGAATTGGAGGCAAGCCCAGTTTCAATTGCGTATGTTTGGGTCCTTTTATCTGTTTAACCTGATAGTGCAGGCTTGCGTTACTGATTGACTTGGGCCACAATAGCCACTTGTGACAAGCAGGAAGGAATTACAATCAGATCCTAATTAATGAATTTAATCACCCAAGAATTTGTTAATAACTGAAGAATGCGCAATAGCAAGTTTTACTACGGTAAATAATATTACTTTCGGTTCTAATTATAAGAGCTAGTTGACTAATTTGAAGAGATTAAGGAAGTAAGTTGAGTTAGTTATTTGTTCTAAATAGTTGTTGTCTTTCCTAAAATATCCTTGCTAATCAAGTGTATTGACCAGAACTATAATGATTAGAAGGACTATCTTGAAAAAAATTGAGTAAATATGAGAGATAAAGTGGATTGGAGTCTTATATTTAGGACCAAAATAAAAGTCAAACAGGATCTTATATTAAGGACTGGAGGTAGTAATAGATTTATGCAACTCATTTATTATTGACATTTCTTGATAATTAAACCTCCTTTTTGAGATCTTATAATAATTCTCCCTGAAAAAAACAATAATGTGTTATGTGCAAGAAAAAATTAGGATTCCAATATATATGTACGTATGTATATGTAAAGATTTTTTGATAGATAGATAAAGGAACATATAATGTGTGTGTGCGCGTAGGCAAAACAGATAAAAAGGAGAACTAATTAAAAGGCAAATTTTTATATATTATCAAATTTTTGTTTCAGTCTTTTTGGATGCTTAAATTCATGAAAATATTTTTTTAAGATATGATATAGAAGATTTAATTTTAAAAAAATATTTATATCTTTTGCTTTGATACAGCTGCCGATTCCCCCCCCCCAAAAAAAATTCAAGTTGCCGAAATCAAGCAAAAGCTTATGACTTTGTGTTATAATAACATTAAATACTTCTCCTAATTGTTTCTTAACTATAAGATTGTGGATTTAATGTCCGCAGATGTGTATGTGTGCGAATTCCTTTGACAAGATAAAATATTGGGGGAAAAAATGTGGGGAAACACAAAGAAAGAAGTGAAAGAATTAAAAACAAAAGGTTGGTAGAAATGTGTGTGTATTTGAATAAAAATATAAACATATATTGAATGTTGAATGAATATTAATAACGATGAAATGGTTGTCTGACAAAAAAAAATCTATATTATTATTAAATTAAATTTTAGTAAGATGCCTTTATATGTGTGTGTATATTTTAAAGGCTTCTTAACGAAATAAATGAATTTTAAAAAAACATACAAACAAAAATCGTGTTGACCTTATCGACAAACTTTGTTGAATTTTTTTACAATAAGAGACCATCAACGTAATTCAGCTCAAAAAAAAAAAAGAGACAATCAATGTAAAGTTTATCCGATCGTCGACTTTTTTGACCAACTTTGATGAAATTTTTAACATACATAATCCCATCAAAACTACTATTTCACCACAAAAAAGGCCTAAACTACACTTTATATTTATTTATTCCCCTCCCATCCGCTATTCCACTACTTCAATATAATCTCAAAATATATAACTCTAATAATACCCATCTCACCCGCACCAAAAAAATTAGTCAGATTAGTTAAATTTGTAACAAAACATATTTTTTTTTATTTGCACATAAATAAGAACATATTCCACATAATTTAAAAAGGGAATTATATCCGTTTAAAATGAGTTGCACTTGCCATTTAAGTAATTGTCTCAACAATTTTCTCTTATTTAATGTGGTTGTCTTTTGGACCATTCGAACAATTTGTTGTAAATAATATTATACTCCTCTGGTATTTAATATAGGATCCAATTATTGAGTTAGTTTTGGTCCTAAATATAAGACCAATTTCTCATATTTATCAATTTTCTCTAAATTACCCCTATGGATACTCTCTCAACTATAATCAAGTAAAAGAAGAAGAAAGGGTATTAAAAAAGATGATTATGGTGTTTTAAGAAAAACATATTACATTTTTTCTAATTAACTAACTAACTTAACTTTCTTAATCTAATCAAATTAATTAAATAGATTTTATATTAATGACCAGCGGAGTAATATTGATGGTGGTCATCCTCAGCAGCCACCGAGCAGCCAAGGGGGAATAAGACCTGCAAGCATATGATTATTTTTTGCGTAAAAGTATTTAACCACTTTTTTTTATTTTCGCTCCTCAAGATTTTAATATGCAATCTTATAAAGTGTAGGTGAATCTTTTAGGAGAACTAACAAGTAGTTTACTCATAAGGATAAAAATCAAATTTTAAAGATTTTTTTAACAAATTAATAATATCAAAAAAATTTAATCATTAGTATAATTTTTAGTTTCTAAAATTTGAACCCATTTTGGTTTGAATCCCTCAAATTTCAAACACAGTTTAAGTCCTTAAAAATTTAGTTCATCTTAGAACGTTAGTTCACAAAGATGCAATGGTGTTAACATCTCTTGAAATATCATTAATGGCATCAAAAGTGATTTGTAGACTCATCAAACGCCACATAATTAGATTTTTTGTCGATAATAGAAGGCCATGCAATGAAGAGAACTCCTAAAACGAACATAAATGAAGAAAAAACAAGGGTTTGCATTTTTGAGAGCCTTTTTTTTTCGGTCTTCTGTTATCCATACAAAATTCAATTAGATGTAATGTGGTGAGTTCACGTTACCTATCACTTTAGTGCTTACACTTTAGTATATTTTAACACCATTGCATTTTTAGAGATTAATGTTTTAAAGCCGACTTAAATTTTTATGAACTTAAATTATATGTTTGAAATTTAAAGAAT